ATAATGATGAAAAAAATGCCTGAATGGAAAACATGAGGAATTGCTGTAATAGCTTTTCACATGTAAATACATGGTTGGCAAAACTTGACTGAAATAACCTTAGGGCACCCAACCAAATTTACTGTGCAGTTTACGTATGTAGATTCTGTAAACTATAAAGTCAGAGTTAAAAACAACTAAAAACAAGGTTTTGAAGTATGTAATGGAAAGATTTAAGGACATTTCTTTATCTGCCCTCTAGCCTGGGAATTCAGGGGAAAAAAACAACATGATTCACTGGATTCACTGAAAACCCACTATATTTTTTTTTTAAAGTTTTAGTTGAACTACAAAAATAGCTTTTAGGTAGTTATTTTACCATATGCCTAATCCTACAGAGAGTAAAATATTCCAGAATTATTTACAAAGGAAACAGTCTAGGTTAGTCATGAGTGTTTTACATTGACTTCCCCATCAGGTTGTCAAGTTTTGACTTGTTTCACTGCTTTACTGCACCTTCAGGAGTGTTCAGCATGTAAAAAGCCATCAAAATTTAGAAGAACTGATTTGGTAATCGCTACCAGATTGTCAGAGAAATCTGTCCAAATAATAGTGCGGTCATAGTCCTTCTGAGGCAAGTAAGTCCCAACTGGAATCCCTTTAATTTCCACTCCAAAGACCCTGGGTATAGATCCCAAAAAAGGATTTACAATTCCACTCCATGCTGACACTGCAGTTCAGCTCTCTGTATATGTGCAGGAGAGTGTTGTACTTGCAGAGGTGTTGGATCTGGTGAAACATTACACTCTGGCTCTTCTACTTGTGCGGGCTGGGAGCGATCCGGGCCCTTTTTCACACCGCGCGGGCTGTGGCCAGCAGCCCGAGCACGCTGGGTCAGAGAAAACAGGCGACACGTTAGAATTAGTCACGGACGCGTAATGGTTGATTTAAGATTATTTACTTACACCGAAGATGGTCACGGTGTAGGCAGGAAAACTTGCTTGAGTTGCAGTTACAGATAGAAAAGAAGAGAGGCGGACTAGAGTTCCTTCCCGTGAACATTCTTCTAGCCCATCCGGTTGGAGGCTCTAAACCGTGAGCCTGTCGCGCCAACCAAAGAAAGTACTCGAAGAAAAGAGCTCTGAATAGACTCACACGAAGTTTGCTAGGCTCCGTGGAACTTGTGTGCGCAGGGAAGAGGGATACGTCGAGGATTGCGCTCGGCGACGGGGAGAGGCAGGGCAAACCACTAGCCGCCACGTGGGAATAATTTAGAACTAGCCAATGGTGGGGCACAAATTTGAATACGAATGGCGGGAACTCCTTGCAACGTGCATTTCTGTGCTGCAACAAAGAAATGCACCCTGCAAAGAAAGCTACTGGTGGCGGGAATTCTTTTGCACCGGGGTTTTCCTCTGCAGCAGAAAACTCCACCGTGCAAAGAAGCTGCAATTTAGCGGGAACAATTTAGCAGTGCCGAAGCACTCACAAAACAAAAATCACACCCTTGGGTTGTGACGCTGCTCAGCTCTTGTGAATGGCCTGGTGACAAATTGCAGCACTTTAATAAATAAATGAAAAGCTAACCCTGATGTGTTGTCTCATGTTCTTTCTCTCTCATTCAGGGATGTGATTTAAGGAATGCAAAATGCCTAATGGCTGCTGCTTGAGCCTGTATATTATAGTCGCTGCATTCACAATAGGAGTGACATTGTTAAGTCAAAGGCCCTTTTCCTGGGCCTGTAGCTCATTTTGTTTTGACTTTCTGCCACTGCTGGAGGTGAGGTCCCCAGACTCTTCCTGAAAGAGCCAAAAAGGAGGAGAGCTAACTCCAGCCAAGGTCCCACTGTCTGCTTCCTGTACTTGCATCCGTATTTGAGCAACATCCTTTGTGTCCATAGCTCTCAGGATTTTCTTTACATGTGTGCAATAAGTAGAACTGGCAGGAATTTGAATTTTTCTGTACCTAATTAATGTAATCGTTTCTCTAAAATCTTTGACAACTCTGAGAAGAATACAACTTTTAAAGCAGTTTGCAGGTGAGGTGCATACTCACAGCACCAATATTTCTTTCTTGTTTCTGCCCATCAGAATTATGAGACTATATAAAGTACCTCACCCCATTCTTATCTTACCTGTGGCTTCCAAATCTTACAGTCATCCTTGGCAGTGGCATCTTAGAAAATAAACTGCCTCTTGTCATCAGAAGGCCATACAATATAATTTTAAAAAATGTCATGCCTACTTAATTTACTTTGCCATTTCCTCCTGGCTGTATGTATTGTGTATCTGACTGTATTGTTGTATCCTTCAGAAAGATCTAGAAAGGAAACTAAACTGCAGTTGCTAGCAAAAGCACAGTGGCCAAAAGCTTGATAACGGTATACTGAACAACAGGCTTGTACAGACAGACTATGCCTATTGCTCCCCTCAACTAATGGCTTGACTTTATCCTGCATCTTCTTTCTGACTTTTCTATTTTAATTTAATCTAACTATTTATTCTTAGCCTGTGTAAAGTATGTGAATGTAAGAAAACAGGGCCTCTTTAGTCTCTTAAATTGCACATTAATTGCAATTATACTCACCTTTTACACTGCCAAAATGTTTTAAATAGGGGAAATGAGAATTGGGTCCAACAGAATTTCAGAAATCTGTATATCAGACGGACCAAACGTTTACTACGGCTTCCATCAGAGCATTTACAAATGCTTAGGAAAGATTGTTGGCCAAGTTCTTTCTGGTCCTGTTCTGCTTTGGGATGCTGGTGGACGAGGGGCCTAAATACGTTATTTGCCATAGAAGCAATGCTCATGGTGGCCAGACAGGTTCCTTTCCTCACTTTCTGGTTAATTCCTGCTTGTGGCTAGAATAATTCACACGAGATGGGAAGAGTCTGAGTACCCTGTAGGAGGCTTGGACTGTACTCTGCTGTTCCAGGCATAGGGGTCCTGATAAGCATGAGTTTCAGCGAAGTGTTGAGAAAGTTATAGTTGTGCTATCCTTTGGCCATTCCTTGTCCTGGAAATGAATAATAAGGTTGGTGTGCATAAGGGCCCTAACATGGCCACCCTGTTCTAAAACTTCAAATAAGTGAGATTCAAAGCCAAGTATATTTTAGTATAGCAAAAAACTACCATGAAAAACAGTTTCTTGAATGGAACGGGATGTGTTACGTTTATTTACACAGGGAGGGTGAGCCTTTCTATGTATGTGCTGCACACTGAGTGTTGTGCTCAAACATACGGGTTAATTGGGGTTCAGATAAGAAAAGATTTACTGTTTAAATCCTAACTTAATGAATTTGGAAGAGGAAATGGCATAGTTTACTACTATTTAGACAAGTTTTCACAATTTAAAATGTAAATTAAACCACTAGGTATTTCTTTGAGTTTTGAAAGGAAGAGTCAAGCATTACGGTGTAATTATTGTAATCTGCTGCTAAATAGTTTGATGCATTGGTTAAATTACAGTTATTATGCTATGAAACCTAATTACTTTCTACATTACTTTGTTTAGATACACATTGATTTAATTTTTTTTTCAAGGCTTAGTGAAGAAGCTGGAAGCAGAGATAAAGCTTAATTCATTCTTGGTCAATGAAGAAATTCCTAGAGATCTGGAAACTAAGAAGCAATCATTATATTTCCTACAAAAAGTGGTTGCAGAGCCAGCTATGAGCCAATCTGATCTCAATGAACTTGAAACCAAGGTCCGGTGATTGAATACCTACCTAATCTATTGTCTTCAGTTTACCGTGTAGTTGTGTAAATCCCTATTCTAAATCTGCAAGTAAAAGCCTTTAATTATCAAAGGGAATTCCCTTCCTATTTTTACAGTAAGGAAAATGTAAAAATTGCTGATTAAACAAAGCCTATCACGTTACTCAAAACCCCACCCTGAAAAGCTGTTTAGAAAATGATGTTGTTAATTTGGATCCGCATGAACAGAGACCTTAATTTAGCATCAGATGCCTGATTTTTGCACGTTCCACATCAATTTTATAGATTTTAAAGTCCCAATGATTTTGGTAGAATTATACTGACAAAAAAACCAGTGAGAGCCGTGTTGGAAAATCAGGTCTTCAGTATATTATGGATTACTGAGTTTACATTTTAATAACAATGTGTAATCATTCAAAGTTTGTCTGCATAGTTTAAAATATTTCTGTATAAATTTTATTTTAAATGGCAGCATCACCACTAATTAACTACTGCATTTATTTAATTTACATTTTAAGAAAATCAAATGTTAGAAGCTAAAGTTGTTAGGATGAGCTAAAAACTTTTAATATTAGTGTATTCAGCTCTTTCTGGACAAGAATGAACAGGCTGTGTAAATTTAGGATTAAGGCCAAAGTAAAATCAATGACAATATGATACTCCCTTATATCTTGACTGTTATATTCTTTAAGGATGCTGATTTTATTAAGATTTGAAACCTCAAAATAGCTGTGTGATTCACCTTTAGAACCTTTTTGTTCCTGGCATATTTCTTTCTGTCATAATAACATTTGTGATTTGAATCACTTTAATTGACGTAGAATCTGTTTTCCCACCTTTCTTTCCTTATGTACTGTCTGTATTTAGTGATACTTTCACAGGATTCCAGATTTTTTTCTCTCCAAGGTCCATTCTTAATTCACTGTCCTTTTGGAAATTTGTTTCACCATTGGACAGTGAAAGAATGTGCAATACTTTTCATTGTAGTGTGGTCTTAGGTATGTATCACTTCTACTAGCATGACTCTCATTATCTGCATATCTGGATAAAGGTCTTAATTATGCCAAGTTATCGCTAAATGCTTTAAATATGCATCAGACTCTCATACACTTTGAATTTTGACCTATTCTAGCAGAGAATTAATGGTCTTTGCAAAAGAAGAGAGGAGAATTTCAAATGGAGGTCCTAGTGATTAATCAGTCATTAAAGAACAGTTTTGACTGGTCATTGGTGAAATTGGGTCACAAAGTAAAAGCAGCAGCATCCTTTTTTCTGTAAGAATATAGTAAGCCAAATTCCTCTGCAAGCTCAGGGTCTGTGGTTTTAGAAACTCCTAGGCACTGGTGGCTGATCTTGTTTTTGAGGCTCAGGGATGGGAATCTGAGGAGATAGGCTCTCTCCCTGGTTTTCCTTGGCAACCTTGGAAAACTCACTCGGCTTTGTGTCTTTCCCCATTTTCAAACTGGTACTCATACTTCCTGACATGTTTTGTGAGGCTGAATCCATTGGTTTGCAAAGCATTTTGACATCTTTAGAGAGAGGGCAAACAATTCTCTTTACCTTAATTCTGCTGTTCAATAATTAATAAATTCTCTCAATTTTCCGCTCCGTTCCAGATAGATGAAGTCAACGCACAAATTAATCAGCTGATTGAAAAGAGAATGATTAAATATGAGCCAATTGATAGCAGGTTTTCAATGTATCGACAACAGGTAAGAAGGAACAGGTTTTTTTTTGTTAAGCACTATGCTTGTCATAGCAAACTTCTCAGATTACTGAATGTTATCTGTAGTTTTATATTCTGTTTTTTTTAATAAATAAAGGCAAACAGTGCAGCAAGTTGAAGAATAAATAAAGCCGGTTGAATGTAAGCATATAACAGTGTATAAATCCTGGAAGCCTTTACTACTAGGAATTAATTTCTTGACAGCGGTGGGACTAACCTTGGTAATAAGCAGTTATGAGATCAGGCACTTGGGCTGTGTCTGTTAGGCCCAGTCCTGTGTACAGCTCAAGCTCAGAGTGCCCTAACAGGTCAGTGTTGGGGTATTCTTTGGTATGGGCTTATAGAGCATGCTTGGACCTCTGGAAATTTAGCAGAATACCCATTCCAGAATACACTTGCTTATTACTTTGCTAAAGGCTCTTGTCTATATTTTTATTGTGGAACAAACATGTCCATACAGGGGCTTTACACTACACTAAAATAAATATTTTTGGAATAGCTACTGTGGTCAATGTCCAAGTATCGATAAGCCCTAGCAAAGAGACCCCATGATCCTGATTCTGCAATTACTGCAAGATGTAGTACATACTACCAGTTATATCCCATTTCTTGTCTTTGAGCTCTCGTTGTATGGATCCAGTTGTCTCTATTTGTGAATGTATTTTATGCCTTAAAGTGAAACAGGTTTTTTTCTCATCTTGAACCTAAATGCTTTACATAGCATGAAACATTGTATGTGTGTGTGTGTGTGTGTGTGTGTGTGTATATATATATATATATATAATGTTTGGGGGGGATAATATAGACTGTATCTATATAGATACCTATCTATATCGATCTGTATATATAGATAGATAGATACACAAATTTTCCTATTGCTAGATAATATTTATGATACAAAAACCATTGTGGTACATTGAGAAAATGTGATAAATTGAGAAAACAGCATGGTGGTATGGTATACATTAATCAGGGCTCAAGTCTGAATAACTGCATCAATTCAGTTGTAATGTGTCCTGCATAAATATAAACTTCTCTCTTTTCTTGTGAACCAGTTTTAAATAAAGAGAGTTAAGGTATCTTTAAGATCTGTAATAGTACACGCTAGCATATTTCTTCATAATATGTGCATTATTATAACTTTTGCAGAGGAGGGCCACTCGCATGGTCAGGGGGCAGCAGGGCAGGCCCTACGAGGAGAGCCTACGGGATCTGAACCTGTTCAGCCTCCACAAGAGAAGATTGAGAGGGGATCTGGTGCCCGTCTATAAGCTTACAAGGGGAGACCAGCAGGGCAATGGGAGAGGCCCTGTTCCCCCGAGCATTACCCGGAATAACTAGGAATAACGGCCACAAGTTGATCGAGAGTAGGTTCAGGCTAGACATCAGGAGGCACTACTTCATAGTCAGGGCTGCTAGGATCTGGAACCAACTTCCAAGGGAAATGGTGCTCGCTCCTACCCTGGAGGTCTTCAAAAGGAGACTGGATGAACACCTCGCCAGGGTCGTTTGACCCCAGTTCTCTTTCCTGCCCATGGCAGGGGGGCGGACTTGATGATCTGCTCAGGTCCCTTCCGACCCTACGAGCTATGAAACTATGAAACAAATTGTCCCTATGTGTTAAATCCAGTGTTATAGACCAGGGTATATAAAAATCAAGACTTTCTGGGGATTACAAATTAAAATTAAAATTTATATATTTATTTTTCCTGGTAGCTTATGGCTTTGAATTTAACTGACATTTTTCAAGGCAAGGTCTATATTTACAAAAAAAGCTGAAGTTTTTTTCAGAGATTATGTATAAATTGTAATATTCCAGTAAACTGCATATAACAGACTTGCAAATAGGATCTCAAGTATGGAGTCTTTTTAGTGTAAGAGGTGCATTGCCTTGCATAAGATAAGTATGCTACATAATGTGCTAGTACAAAAGACCAGCTGGCTTCTCATATAAAGCTCTGACATTCCACAGAGGAACCGTTCCGGGAATTCAACTTGCTGTTCTGAGTCAAGAACATATGGTGGACTCTGATCACTTCCACAATGCACCAGAGATTTCTTTATAAAATCATCCTCTTTTTACCACATTTTGTTGTTGTGGGTATCTTAAGAAATAGTCACATAGGCAAAATCTATCTCTTTTTCTATATTTTTAGAAAAGTGCTGGCCCTCTTACCCGCTGAGAGGAAACTAGCGGTAAAGACTCCCACATTATAGCTAAATTTTATTTTAAAATAAAGAAACAAGCATGCTTCTAAAATCATGGTATTTGTTATTTTAAACTGATTTTAAAATAATAACAATAACACTCATTTGCATGGTCTTCCTTTTAGTATTTGATCTTTGATACAAACTTTTTATAATATAAAATGCTTTTGTTATTTAGTGATCTGATTTTTACTTATGTTTTTTAACACTCTAATAGTCACGATGTAAAACTTGAGTTTTAAAACATTTTACTTCTGCTAGGCTTGAAGGAGTCAAATAACCTGCAATTTGTATTGTCCTTCACTTCTTTCTTCATTGTCTTTTTCTAAATTACAGAGATTTAATGGCTCAATTATGTTAGTTATATGCTACATGTTTCTGTAGGCTGGAGTTATAAAAATCCATATTATGACATTTGTAAAATCTTGAATTCTTTCCAGTTAAGCCTTATTGGCGCGTCTTCACATGCACAAAAAAGAACTAAGCAGATTAAATTGTTGAGTTGAAATATAGGCCTCTTATTTAATGAAACGGAAAAATTCAGGTGCAAAAATGTAAATCTAAGTGTCAGAATGAATCTAGAACAAAATATTACAAATATAATCCTGACTATCAAAGTCAACGGGAATTTTGTTCTTGTTTTCTGTGGGGCTACTTTTTAACTTCTGTGGCATACTGCTGTTGTCATTGATGTCTTCTCCCTTTAGATCTAAAGAGGGACATGTTAATGCCTTGGCTTTCCTCCCAATGCGTCTTTCCTACAACTTGCTCAGCATCTGCAATGTTATCCTGCCCGTACTCTAAAATGTTAACTGCTGTATACTGTATTAACCATGACTGACCAAGTGCAGCTTTTACTTTAGTCATCCAAGTTAACATCTAATAATCATGCAGGCATCCATAATTTCCCGGAAGAAAGAAGCCAAAGCAGAAGAGCTCCAAGCTGCCAAGGAAGAGATGTCGAACATTGAGAGGCAAATGTTACAAAAGGCAAATGAGGCCCGTGAGTTGGAAGGCACTGAAATTTTGAAAGGTGATGAGGTACGTTAAGGTAGTGGGGAGGCTGAGAAAGAGGAGTCTATGTAAAATGGAGCAATTCCAGTTGATGCATTTAAGGATACTAACTTTTAACCTTACATTTTGGTAATCAGTGAGCATTGCCACTATAGTTTACCAGGTTTCTTTGAAATGCTACCATCCAAGAACATGACTGCAGTATTATACCTTATAAGCTAGGTTCTGCTTTTCTTCATGAAGTGTAATTTCAAATTCGATTACAAAGACCATGCTTTATTTCATTTTCAGTTCACACATGAAGATAAACCAGAGTATTTTCCAACGCCTATACTGCAGCAAAGTGTGCTTAAAATTTTGTTTGCAGCTGGTCTCGGGTTGTTGATGTTTTACTTAAATTGTGCAGAAGTAATCATATGCAGTGCAAACTAGAGTTGCTGGTACTTCTTTTCAGCCATAGATCAAAGTAATATTGAGGTCCATCTCACAGCTGGCATGATAAATAATGGTGTTTGATACACTGAACATCATCAGGAACAATTGCCACCAGAGAGATTCAGAGATAAGCCACGTAGCTCCAAATTGCTAATAGATGTATAATAAAATGATCCATTGGATTACATTTTATTCTCTGTAGGGCACAATATTTGTAGAGAAAAATCGCAACAGTAATCTGAAATGTGAGTTAGTTGAATTTGTTCATTATCCACATACATTTCATTTTTTTTTGTCTTTTCCCTCTTATTCTCCCAGATCATCTTGAATTTCATCTACAGTACTTTAGGGTTGTTGGTTGTAGCCGTGTTGGTCTAAGGACATCAGCAGACAAGGTTCTTTGGGTAGATGTGATATCTTTTTTTAGACCAACTAAATAGTTGGAAAAATTGTTCTTAGCAAGCTTTCAGGTTATAAACACCCTTCTTCAGGGACAGGGAGCATCTATAATACTTTTTTTTTTTTGATCAGGAAAAGCTTTATTTGAGGCTTCGTACATCAAAGCAGTTTTTTCTTCATAGGAGGCTTATTGAGCATCAGGCTTTTATAACTGGACAGTGTCTTGTCTCTGTGCCAGATCGACTTTTCTTGCTACAACATTTGCTCTCATGGAAAAATCTATTGAGGGAGCAGAGACAGGGCCTGGCTTTGCTGATCCACTGCCTTACCTCTTGTTTCTTCTCACTCTCCAACACTGCTTGTTTATCCTACACTTCGTGTAGAATGACTTCTTTGCCAGTAGTGCCCATGTATGTGCCTGTGCCTTCTTGCTTACTGCTGTCTGCAGCAAATCCCCTTGCTCATCTTATCAGCGATGCCTTCTCTACAAAAATCCCTTTTTCCTTTAAAGGTTCCTCTAAAGCTCAGATTACATGGGTATCTCTGAGTGCATATATTCTCACACAAATAATCAAATGACTGTGTAATCCTCAAGACGCTTGTGTTACCCTTGGGCCACTGCTTGTTCAGATTGTCTTCCCTCTGCCTTTCCCCCATCAGCTCTTTAAACTAAGACAAAAACAACAGGTGGAGGCAAAAATCACAGAGACTTACCACCAGGGTAGTGTTTAGTATAGTGAGTAGTTCCCTTGACTCCAGTGGAATTACTCATGTTGGCAAGATCTAAGCAAATATTTTAAGGATTCTAAACTATAACCCCTTCCTTATATTGTCAAGTGTCATGCACACCTACGGGACTACATAGGTAATCAGAAGAAAATGTCTGGCTTGGATTTCTCTACATCATCAACTGTGTGTAGCTGTATTTGTTTTTGACAGCTATTTAAATACAACTTGGAAGCAGACAGTGTGCTTCATGGCATTCCTTCTAAGCAGAAAGAAATGATTAGTAGTCCAATACTAATGCATTATGAGAGAGAGATCCACAAATGCTTTGCATTGTGTCCAGGACAATATTGCATGTTGGTATCATGGAAAAAAAAAGAAAAAAGAGAGACATTTATTTACAAAAAAAGTGTGGTTTCCTGGCTGGATTCTGCCAGGAGCAAGCTGCTCAAGTCAGGAAAGCAGAAGAGAAGACCTGTTTGTACACAGTCCCTGCTCCCTGTGTTCTGCCTTGCTCTTCACATCTTTAACACTTTATTTTTAGATGCTCGCATGGTGTGGGGAAAGCCTGTTCTTTCAGTGAGGAGCTTCTGTACTTTTTTTATACACTTTGCTTTGTGAGAAGCATGTTTGTATGCAGGGCCAATGGAAGTCATATTCTTACCCAAGAATACAGGTCAATATTATACATTTTTTCTGCTATCTTATTTTTTGTTGTTTGGTGCTCCCAGGTACTGTTTCAATGCAAACCTAGAATTAGGAGGTGGTATGGGTAGTCCCCTGGATAGAGATTGGACTGGAATGTAGCAGAGTTTAATTTCCAGCTCGGCTGCGAGCCTGCTGGAAGACTGTTCAGTTCAGTTCCCCATGCCTCGACTTCTTCATCTGTAAAATCGGGATTCTGATGCCTACCCCCTTTGTCAGTACTTGGGTATCTACTGATAACAAGCTTTATAAAGAACTAGGCATATGATGTATTTTTTGTTAAGCAATATACAAAGGTACTGTGAAAAGATAGTCCCTCCATCTAGTTTAGGACAAGCCAGGATTAGTGGATGAGACATAAAAGGAACATACACCCTTGCAGTCAGCGATAGGAGTTTCTTGCCCAGATGCACTTTACAAACTAAAGCATGGCGGCAAGGAGAGCCCATTTGGTTCTACACCAAACTACAAAACACTAGGGCCAGGTTGTTTTTTTCTGAGATTGTAAAATCTTTCAAGTACTTCAAACAGAAGTACAATGAGCAGAGTGGCAAAGCTGGCCTGGCAAGCTGCTAGGTGCAGCTGTCAGATCCTGAAAATTAGGGAATCAGATGTTGACACTTAGAAGGGTAGATGGTTCAATTACAAGTGATCCTAGGTAAACCTGGGATATTTTTAGTTCTTTTCACAGTACATTGTACTTCTCAGAGTTCAGCGTAGGACCCTGAGAGCCTAGAGTTTCCCATGGTATCAGAATAGAAGAGGATCAAATCTGGGCTTACCCACAATAGCTGAAGTTGAAAGGAACATGTTGTTGAGAATGTAGCCTAGGAAATCCCATGGACTAGATGAAATGATTTTTTCATGCAGCTGCCCCGCACCCCCATGCCTCTTGTTAAAACAAAAAAAAAATGCTGCGATTCCCCTGCTATTTTCAAAGAAAATATATTAAAGAATGGAGGCTTTTAACCATAGACAGTTCTCCCAGATCTCCAAAAGCTTCCCAATTAATGAGTCTATCAGGAAACAACCCTTTAGCACAGTACTAGGTACACTGTCTGGTTGCTGTCAAGGAGCTGACAGTTTGGAGATTAAGTGGTTTAAACCAGGACTTGGAAAATGTTTTGCCTCCAGGCTAAAGCAATTTCTTTTTCGTACTTCCTACAGAAATCAGGAAAGGTTTTAATCCTTTTTCCAAAGGTTCTATAAATGTATTAAATTTAGAGAATATTATGGTCAGTTCCACTGTGGGTACAAAGATGGAAAGTCTATATAAAATTCTTACTGAAGCCTGAAGTTCTTGCTGTAAGACATTAACCATCATTGAAGCCAAATGTACGCAGTGATTCTGACATAAAATACAGCTTCACGCAACTGAATGCTTTCTCAGCACCCAATGGAATGAATAAATCATTAATTTTATTGATCTGTGCATTTTCAGTGATAACTGGAAATGCTTTTTCATTAAATATATTCTGATTGGTCCAAATTATTAGTAATGGCTGCTGTAATAATCCTTCTTGCCCAAGAGCAAACAATCTAGAAGAAATGTCCTACTCAACATTAATGAAGAATTTATCTGATTGGTCTATCTAATGAGCACACTGTAGGATACTTTTTACTATAGTGAGATAATATTGGCTTGTCTCGAAAGTTTTGTTCTTCGTTTATGACTCATTAATCATTTCCCAAGTGGCTGTCCTAGTTCAACTTCAGAGCTTTCATAAAAAGATTATTAAGAACCTGTCATGCTTAGGAACTTTTTAATCGCTTTCAAGGCCTTTATCATGTTAATTGGACTGGCTAACAAAATAACCATCTGCTCCTTCATTTATACTATAAACATACAGATTCAACTAAACTTTTCTACAGCTATCTTGCTGATAAAATTATTGATAACTAATTGCAATAATTTGTATTAACAAAATTCTTGCCTGGAAGCTGAATGGGATTCTTCACCTCAGAAATAAAAAGTTCTGATGATCTTTATTATTTAATAATAGCTTTACATATCTTCATAGTTAATACTTGCTTTCTGCTTTGCTTCCTGATAAGGAACATGTTGTTTAATATCATTCCTTACAACACCACTGACAAGGATTGCCAGAGGGATAAATCTGTGGGGTTTCTGGTTCTCAGAAAATGAATCTATCTAGTCTGTCTTCTGCATATTTTACTGTTATTTTTGGAGTAATTAGCTTACGATCTTCCACTTTCTATTTTCTTACTGTTGACATCATATGAGATATGGATGGCTTGACTTATAAGCTTTTTTCTACTGATACTAGGAAATGAATGAAGAAGTCACTGGAATTACTGACAACATGCTAATATTAAAAAAAGCGTAATTCTTAACTTTGTTCTGTATACTTCCAACCTCACAGAAGTCATTAGCCATGAACAGGATGAGTCTACTGAGGTTATTATGTTCCTTGATGTCTATAAACTCAGAATGTCAGTATTGCCAACACAGAGAGAATCCTAAAAACCAGGATTTTGTCTTTAAACATAAATGAAAAAAAGAATAATATTTTGGGTTCTTTGTTTGTATTCTGGTTTTAAAATCACAAGTTCATGTTTTCATTCTTTATCTTTGCAGCTTGGAGGGCTAGAAACATCATTTATAAAAAAATAAAGCCAAGATTTTCACACAGTAATTTTGACCTTCCTTGTGATTGAAACTTTTCTTTTTACTGAAAGAAAATGTGTAGTAATGCGAGTTAGAATTACAGTTCTTGCCAGAGACTTGAACAAAAAAGCACTTTTGTAAGTTCTTAACATTAAGCATGTGAGTAGTGTGCTTGAAGTCAGTGGAACTGCCCATATGCTTAAAGTTAAGGATGTGCTAGCATTTTGCAAAATTGGTGCCAAATGCTGAGCACCTCTGGAGTCTTGGGTCCTAAACCGCTTATGGTAAATATCAGTGGAAATAGCTTACAAATAATAAGGGAACATTGTATTGTCGCGTTCTTTCATAATCTATTTGCTCATGAAAGGAGAGAAAGCAAAGAAAGAGAAGGGAACAAAGGCAGCCATTTACATGCCTCAAAATTATAGTTATTAAACACAGAGACCAAATGCCTTTGAAACTTGATTGCTCATTTTCTTGCATACTGCCCTTTCCAGTTTTGATTTTACTGGATATTTGCCATAATGAGTGTCAAAGGTTCACCAGGTTAAGAATAGGAAAGATGCTTTTGTGGTTAAAGCCTACAACTGAGAGTTGGAAATCTAGGTTTTATCTCAGTTAAGCCATTCACTTGAACATAGGCTTAACATCCTCATCCACTTTGTGAATTGGGGGTGAATCGTTAGCTGTCTCAGATTTCCTGGGTGCTCTCAGGCAAGGTGCTTTAATAGCTATTTGGTTTCGATAACATAGCTATCAGGTGTTTTTTTTTCTATTGCATCTACCCATATCAATAGTCAAATGGAAAAGTATAAACTTTTTTTGCTTTCATTTGGATAGCTCCTGTATCTCAGGGGGCCTCTGGCATGGGTCAGAAGCTTAGTTTATTTACTTTAAATGATAATTCAGCACCAGCAATTGGTTCTTGTTCAGTCGTTTTAATCTTTGAAGCTTTAGTAACTGTTTGTGTTAAGTTGCGTGAGAGAGGAAATTTCACAAGTGACCATAGTTTTGAATAGTACATAATTTTGGGCCTCAGCAAATCCATGGGAATGTTGTAGGAAGATCCTGCTGAGATTCTGCACAGGGAGCCATTGACCTGGTCTATGAGAAAATGACATTGTCAGAATACGACTTGACTGGACATATCTAACCCTTTACTTTTTTTTTTTTTTTTTTTTTTTTTTTTTACTTAAAAGTCTTCTTGCTGTAATAAAATGTAATATGTTATTTTAAGTTAAAAGCCTGGTTTGTTTGTTTTTTCACTTGGTCGTTAGTTGAAATTGAGTTGATAGGAGTTTGAGATGCTCAGCGTCTCTGCAAATGATGCCTTTGTGCTCTTGCACTTTGGAAAGGATCAGTTGTTTCCATATGGCTTAGTTACAGTTTCCTTAATGCCTGGAGTCTCATGTAGTAGCAGTTCGTTGCTGTTGGGTTGCACTGTCCAGCTCCATCCCAGGTTTTTCTTTAATTGGATTGTGCCTGTTTACCCTTGCACTGTCTTTGGGCCTGGATTTGGGACTGATTTTTAAACGTGTCATGTTTGAAGTAGACTAGATATTTAAAAAAAAAAAATTGCCATATTGTTTAAAGGCATTGCCTACAAGACATTGTTATCTTGCTACTCTTTTGTATCTTGTTTTACTCTATTCCGACAACTAAAATAATGTGAACACCTATGTTTCTGAAAAGCAGAGGATTTCAGTGGATCAAACAGAGGCTAATATGCATCTCCCAAAATGGATTAATTGCAGTCCTGGTCACTTGTCACTATTGCAAAGGTATTATCCTTTAAAAAATGTTTTTTCTTGGTTGTATAATTCAAGTTCAGTCAGCTAATAATAGAACATATGTGGAATCAGTTCTTAAATCAAGTCTCCTTAGATTTCCATTGTTAAGTAGATTATATTTAGTAAAACACTGAATATGCAAATACTGAATCTCCCACTCAGGTCCTTTTCAAGACCTTAAAAGTAGTCCTAGAATGGAGGAGAATAATAGGTTGCTTTCAACCCCAGGGTAAAGTGACAGAAAATCATTCATATATGACAGCTGTACATGGTCACATGTGAAGGAAGTTTCTTCCTTTCCATCATTTTTACTATATTTTGCTGTCCAAATGAAGTATCACTGGACCTGCTCCATCAGAAGGCAGCCCATGTTTTTCTTCAATTGCTTTGCACCAGTATAAGCTGTTATATGTATTTATCTTGTAAAAAAGTATCTTTTCTACTAAGTTGGAAAGCACAGAAAATTTAATGCTTACCCTTGCTTACACCATATTTTTAAAAATCTATATTACCTGAAAGGATACTTGAATCGTCACAAAACATTTCTTATATTAATCAACAATCTGTTAGACTTGCAGCAGATGCTTTAACAATGAAGACCTCAGTGCAGTTGTAGCAGAAGTGCTTCTTTGCTCTTTAGTACTATGACTTAACGTGACCTTGTCTGTCCTTGTCCTAGGTAATATTCACAATGTAAAATGGTGTTCTAAAGCCCCTCATAGTCCAATCTGCATAGAGCACATTGAGTAATTTGTGGGTTTGTTCTTTCACCAAAAACGTTTATAGCTTTTGGCTTTAAAAATAGTTCTGGAGCACAGCAAGATAGAAAAAGCTTTGGCCTAGATATTACATAGAATGGCAGATGAACAGGCTTGATTTCATTTTAGGCATTTTGCCCAGGGCGCTTTTTATAGAACATACAGTGACTCTAGAGGTTCTTAGGCTATGGTCACATCGGTTTTTTGCATTTGTTCTTCAGAAGGAAAATGAATATACTTTTCATAAACTAAGTACTCCATGCAGCTTCATTTTTAAAGTTTAACACTTGCTTTCAGTGATAAAAAAAACCTGCTGGTGTGTTCTTTATGGTTCTCTGTGAGAAGAATGCACCGATTCTACAACTAGTCATCTTATCCATGCTGGTGGACAGTTTAAAATCTGTTTTTATACTAACTTACTGTGATGTATTTCATTTGTTTTGAATTCCTTGTTTCTATTTCTGATCTAAAACCACTTTCCAGAAGTCAGTGAATTTAGCCTCAGAATGTCCTTGTGAAGCATGTAGAGGAGAATCTCGTTATAGAAACCAGGAAACTAAAGTGCACAGGAAGATTAAGTCTTATTAAAAATATATCTATTACTAATTTTAGGGTCTCAGCTATTTGCATGTATAACAAGGATCTCAGTTTTTTTCAGGCTTCTTACAAATTGAACACTCAAAAATTGAGACAAACGTGAACCTAATGTTGATCTGTAGAGATATGAACTATTGTGCTTGACTTCTAAAAAGCAAAAAATTAAACTCCTGATTATTACTGTTCTGTGATTTTTATCTTAGTCCATGTTTGCACTAGTCCTCTATCTGTGTATATGGAGTAAGCAGTTAACTCTTTTTCGCGCTGTCCTTTTATTAAAAGTGGTTAGTCAAGAACAGATTTAGGTTCAGTAAGAGTTGTGGAAAGAGAACAACACAATGTCTCTTGTGAACCAACACTTAATTATTCATCTTTTCCCCTTTGTTCACTTTTCCACATTCTCTTCTCACTCTTCTGTCCTCCCCTCTAATACTCTGAGGGTCTTTAGTTTTTACATGTTCGCTGGTAAAATATGGGGAGCAAATAGAGCTCTTAGTAAAAAAAGAAAGCAACCCAAATGGGAGGTAGTTGGCACCTTGACGGTAACACGGTTATTATTCTTTGCCTTTCTTCCTACAAGAGGAAGGGCAATCTTGTGAATAATGTTCATGAGCAGGGATTGGGAGACCTGGGTTCTTTTATGGTGGAATCTGAACAATTTATCTCTCTGCCTCAGTTTTCTGTCTATAAAGGATGCCAGTTTTCTACTTCAGAGGGATGCTGCAATCCTTGGTTTGCTAAAGCTCTTTGAAATTCTTGACAGGAAACATGCTGGTATAAGTGTAAAGTACTATTAGACTAGCTTTAGTATCCCAGGTTCTTAAAAGATTTTACAAGCACTAACTGACCTTTTCAGCCCTCCAGAAGGCAGATGAGTAGAACTGAATGATCTCTATGTTACAAATGGGCAAACTAAGATATGATGGCATGGCACTGACTTTCCTGATGCCACACATCTGAGTGAGGGGCAGAACCAGAAGGGAAGTTAGGAGTCCCAGTCTTCTGCGCTACACACCGCACTGCTCTGCTTTCAAAGCACAATGCGAGGGGAGTGTTTGTGGTTTATGAAGAAACAGGGTTTAATAAGGCCATTCTTTTGCATCCAAACTAGATTTCAAATGTGCTTGTTAACTCTCATTTCAGTTTAAACGCTATGTTAGTAAGCTTCGAAGCAAGAACACACTTTACAAAAAGAAGCGTCAAGAAATAGCAGAAATTACAGCGGAGTACGGCATTCTGCAGAGAACAGAAGAACTCCTTAAACAGCGCCATGATGCTATTCAGCAGCAGTTGGTAATGCAAAAACTAGCACTACAATGCTGTCACATCTCTTATTGCTGCTATTGGAACCATTAAAACAGTTAAATTATCTTAATTATTTTGAAATTTTCAGTGTATACAAACCTCAGAGTTTTCCTGGTGTTTGCTAAAGCCAGGCAAATCATACTGTGGCACAGGAACTGTTTCACTTCAAGGTTTCTCTGGGCTGTTATATTTCATGACTGGAAATAGTGGGGGAAGGGTTTAACCTGCATGATCTAATCTTGCATACTGAAATCCATGGCAGGATATTAATTGACTTCAATTAAGGAGCAGGATTGGGCTCTTAAAGAGTTGCAGGTGACTTTTCGCATATGGTGAGAGCTTTAAAATTGCCTTATCAGTAGTCGGGTTCAGGTAAAAGCTACTTCTATAGCATGACAACTACTGGAATAGGACTAGAAAAAGACAAACAGCTTAGTGCAGAGCATTTAGAAGAGAGGCAGAAATTGAATATTAGCCAAAAAGTGCTTCTAGCATTGGATGACAGGAGAAGGATTTCCAGCATCAATCAAGAACAGCAGAATATGCATCACTGTAAGCCTCCAGGAAACATATTTTCATCCAAACACAAACAGGTTTTTTTTCTCTCTCTACTTTCTGTTATCACTTTGTGTGGCGTAGTTTTGTTTATGGCTTTAGCTTTATTTTATGGCTACTGTTAGTCCTGTTTTGTCGCAAAGAGGTAAGGTTTTTTGTTTTTGTTTATTTTAACAAATGGTCTGATAAAAAAAAAACCATGGAAAACCTCTAAAAAAGAAAGCTCATGTATTTGAGTGTGTTATGTTGGTCAGTGCAACCCCTCTTTAGGCGATACGACCCCCTCCCCCCAAACAGAGCAACTCCTTGTGAATCAAGCTATAAAATTTGTTTAATTAGTATCAGTAAGGGTCAAGGCATTTCCTCAGGATAAACGATCAGTGAGGAGGAATTGGCTACAAGGCATTGCTGAGTACAGCTACATCATGGCTGCAAAAAATCATGTAGGTGTGTCTGTTTTTTTACAGCAGGATAGCTAATGTGCATTAGCCATCCCACTGCAAAATCTTAGCAGACAAAGCACCGGTAATTTTCCTACCAGGTAGCTAGGTTAGGTTAACACTAAATCCCTGCCCACGGCTGATTCACCTTGCCATAAAATTGCACAGCTTTTGTCTCCACTAGGTTTTTATCATGGAATAGCTCACATGCATCATTTCACACTTGAAAAAAAACCAACAGGTTTTGTTTTTGGATTTTGCTTTTTTTAGCAGTGAAGATCATGTCCATGTTACATTGCTACAAGTTATTAAATCCAAAATGCTCCCCACCATGGTGGCCAGAGCTATTATGAGAGACTTGTTTAAGAAACCTGTATTTTTTTGTGTGGTTTTCCTAGGAGTGATGCAATTGGAATTTGCAAATCTGAGCTACTGCTATAGAATGAAGGCCCTGTGCATTGGCAAGTTTTGTATGACCAAATTACCTTTTTACATATTTAATGATAACTATTAATAACTGTCATGTGAATGAAAAGATAAAGTTTTGTTAAAATGTAACCAAAATAAAACACAGTTAAAAACTCTTCCTGTAAGGACTGTCCTCCGAATATTTTGAAGAAACTAACAGGAAAAATAGTTTTCTATGTTTAAAAAATGCCTTAAGGTGTTTTCTGTAAGTAAAACATCATTGAAGAATACAATTAATAGTTCAGCAATACTGTATTCTGTACTTGTTTGGATGAGCGGTTGTCTATAGAATTACTTGTATTTGGTATAGATGATATTATCAATATTGACATCCTCATTAGAAACTTTTAAATTATGTATAGACCCTGATCCAAAACCCAGTGAAATTAGTGGCAGGTTTTTCTGTTGACTTGAGTGGCCTTTGGGCCTTACCCCAGCTTGTGGTAGTGCAGGAAGCAGTTAATGCCCTAGAGCATAATAGCATGGCAAATACAGGTTGTGTGTTTGTATAGAGAGTTGAGTCGTTTCATTATTCTTAAAATAAACTGATTTCAGCACTTGGCTTACCTTCAGCTTTCTTGCAGTATTTCAGTTGCATCAGAGCTTTTGTTTCATGATATGCCAGCTCCTATAGTCATATTTTGTATTTGTTCCTGTGTCTGCAGCAAGCAATTGAAGACAAGAAGGGGATCTCTGGGTACAGTTATACTCAAGAGGAGTTGGAAAGAGTATCTGCAGTAAAAAGCGAGATGGATGAAATGAAGGGGCGAACATTAGATAACATGTCTGAAATGGTGATTTCCCGATTTAACTGTTACGTTTCTACAAGTTTGATGTTTAGTTCCTGAAAAATAAAAGCTGGAATAACTTCTGTGTCCAGGGCTTTTGCTTCATTGCAATGTATATTTGTAGCAGTAGGTTTTGTAACATATTTTAAAGAATAAATATCTACAAGGGGTACCTGAGATTTATTAAAATTTACACATTTTATTTCCTTTTGAAGTACAAAGAAGGATTTAAATGTTTTCTCCTGCTTTTTTTTTCCTTTGTCAGGGCTGTCAAATTTGCTTTTCTTTGGTTTTGACTGTGCAGTGATTTCATAGGCTATTTTAGTTGCATCTATAATAAAGATTTTTTTTTTACATAATTATTAATTAGTCGGAATGAAAAAGATGTTTTCAAACAATAGTTTTTTAATTAACATGGCCAAAAATCCATTCCCCTCTCTTGTTGTTTGGCTTTTAGTTATTTTGGCTTTTGTCACTGTCATTCATCAAGGTGTTACAAAAAAGACAGGGTTTCAATCTCTCACGAAAAAAACAAGCAGAGATTTTTTTAAAGGTTCTCCAAAACCTTCTTTCATTATGTGGAATAACAAAGCAAAACAGTTTTTTGAGGGAAGGGGTTTTTTTAGATTTTTTTAACACTTTACAGATCATCCAGTGACTTTTTTTAAAACAATATTTCTGAGCCAAGAGGTTAGATATAATAAGAACTGTTAGGATAATTAATTCTCCTTAATTAAAATACTTGTGTTTATATATATATATATATATATAGTCTGCATTAATGCATGAATCTGGCTCATTAGGAGGGACAGATATATATATATATTTTTTTTTTTTTTAAACAATTTCCACAATTATCACGAATATGCTTGGAAAAAAGAAAGATAGGAACTAAGCCAGCAATAGGAAATGCCTGAGCATGAACAATTTCCTCTTCTGGAGTGTCATCAAAGAAACGTGGAACGTTCAGATAAAAAAAGAATGGGAACCCCAGTGTGTCAGGGCATGTGCAAAGAACATGATGTTTGAAGTCCAGCCAAGAGCCTACCTGCTGGGCTTCCAACCAGTTTGTCAAGCAGGAGAAATTGCTAGGGATTGAACTGGATTTAGGAGGGTGGTGAAAGTCCGGGGGTAGGGGGGCAGAGCTTGACAATTCCCATAAGGCCTGATCCAACTTCTGCTGAAGAGAGAAGTTATCCTTTATTCCATAGAAAGGCTCCCCTTTTATGATTGATTGTGCAAAATACCTACCTCCCGAGAAGTTTTGAAAAGAAGAGGAAGTAAGTTGAGCACAAATCTGTGCAATTTGTATTTAGCCTGATCCAAGGACATTATACAAGGATTTGTTATTTTTATTACTGATCCAGATGTGCTTTGCAGCTATTCTTTATGCTTCCAGATAAGCATATACATGTAACTTTAAAAAGCACAGTAAACTTTTTTTTTTTAAACTTTTTAAAGCTTCTTGTCAGCGTTTGACTGTCCATGCACCTGACCTAAAAGGGCTCAGAGAGATTTTTTTTCCACCTTGACTGCCAGAGTAAGCCAGCCAATAGATTGCATAATCAGCCAGATAGAATGAATCAATTCTATATACAGCATAAAGGACAGGCAATTGTGAAATCAGAATGTCAGGGGATTCTAATAAAGCAGTTAAAACTATGAGAGCAGGGTGTAATATGTTCCTGAATGATGGTGCCCCTAACATTTCTAATAGTTCAGTCTGTCTCCTTTTGTCACATCTTACGATATTCTTAACTTTCACCCCCTTTCCTCCCTCCCTTCCATTCCTAATGCTCTCACTTTATTACCATCTTGATGACACATTCATGAAATATGTTTTTTCTACACATCAGGTAAAAAAATTGAATGCAACGGTAGCAGAAAAGAAGTCAAGCCTGGCTCCAGTTGTCAAAGAATTGAGACAGTTGCGGCAGAAGTGCCAGGTTAGTCATACTGTTTCAAGAACATGTTATACAATGGATGCGAGTTAGCTGTGTGTGCCAGGTAGTTATGTGGGACATGCCTTTGCCTGTGCAGTCTCAGATACACACAGCACCTGTTTCTGTTCTGCATTTTTCTACTGGTGCAACTGCAGCATTATGGGAACTTACAGCAGCATAAAATTGGTGTTACAGGCCAGTCAGTCTATAGACAGTAAGTGCATATAAAAATTTTCCTGCAGAAGTTTGTGCATAATAATGATTCTGTGTGGGGACTTAAAAGCTGAGTTGATCCCTGTGAAAATTCAAACTTGTATGCTTGATACTTAAGTTCTGCTTAGTTTCTTAGAACTCGGGGGTTGTGTCAACACCACATTTCTGGCACTCCAGGGTAGAAACGCATGTGACCACTCCCACCCAAATAGCTTCCACTTGCATACACCAGGCCCTGAATTATGGTGGTGTAGCTGCACTGGGGGACATCCCTGTTGCTGCTTTTGAGCCCTCTGTCTCCTACGCATTTGAGAGCAGCCCCAGGGGACACCATCCCATTTCCCAGATTGGTGCATAGAAGTGGCAACAGGTAGGTGGGATATGTTTGAGCATGTCCCTCCCCAAGATGCCAGGGGCATGCTGTGGGCACGCCCTCAGAGCTGGATCATCCCTTGGCACCAATCTGTACTACCTTGTGGATGTCATTGAATTGTACCACTTAAGGTGTGGATTTTATATAATACATAATATATCTACATATACACAAACACACAGAGAAAATAGAATGATTTAAACAATAAATAACACTGTAGTATTAGTTACATGAGAGAGATGCATAATTCATAAAAGAATGACCTGTAGTTAAAGTTTAGGGAAGCTGGAGAAGTGGAACAATTAGGCTTAGCTTAAAATGAGGCTCAGAAAAGCAGTTTGCAACAAGTAGTATCTAAAGGCATCAGAATTGGGTTTAGTTATCTGGCTTAAGCTTTTTCACTCGCCAGAAGAATTTCTTGAATAACGTCAGGGCAAAACAAAATCAGACAGCAAGAATGGGTGATATCGAAGTTCTGAAATTGCTATTTATTAGTTTGCCCCACTATTGAATACTAATGAATTTCTGCTAAAGTACTCCTTTTAAAAATGGATTACGGATAACATTCCATCTGGACAGTAATGCATGTTAGTATAATCTTCTATATCAGGGCTTTGAAGATAGAAAATTTATCTATGTGCTTTAGACATTTTACAAGGTTCATAGACCAGTGGTGTCAAACATACAGCCTGTGGGCCACATCTGGCCTGCAAAGCCTCTCTATCCAGGCTACTGTTGGGCTACCAGAAATGGGAGGCCTTGACCTGCTGCAGAATCTGGGGCCCCTTGATTCTGCTGGGCATAGCCTTCGGTGGCGAGGTTGGCTTGCCACGGCCACCCCTGAACGAACTCCCTCAAACTGAACCCCTTTCCACTGCCATGGTAGCCACTGTGGCAGCCCTTCTGGCCCTGGCTGGATCCAGCCTGCAAGGAGCCTAGCAGTCCAAAAATGGCCTGGGGCCTCAAGTGAGTTTGACAGCCCTGTTAAAGACAAAATGCCATTCAAAGCCTCACCTGGTGTCAATTGGCCTCTTCCCATTAAGGTGGAAAATATGCTTTCTAGTTTTTTTTGTGTTTTTTTTGGGGGGGCGGGGGGGGCTTGTTAGCTGAGGTTCTGAAGTGCTTTTTAACAGTTCATTTTAATTGTTGCTCAGCAGATACAAGATAACGCAGCTTGTTGTATACAACTATAAGAACTGCTTTTGATAGCCTAGTAGAATTGTGTTTCTTGTTTGCTAACATGCAACATAACTTTCCTTTCCTTCCACGAGGCCATCTCATTTTATATGGAAAATATGTCAACCAAATTATTGTAAATGGGAGTTCATACATCATTTATGTTCTCATAAGCTTATAATGTTTAAACAGCAAGTATAAACCCTTAACACAATTTAAAGTAGTTAGAAATCAAATCCACCTTGTTAAAGATATTGGCTATAAATATAAAAAGGCCACTCACAGTTTATACTACTGATCCTTCAACATGCAGGTTTCCCTCGTGTATAATGATACTCGTATGTCTGCTTAGGTTATGTAAGTAGCTCTGAGTGTGCCAGCTGATGTTAAAGGGTGAGATTGACAAGCACATACATTGCTTAGGTGCCACATGTTACCAGCTTGAAGTTTTCGTTGACACGACCTTCTCTCCTCTTCACCCCAGGAATTAACTCAAGAATGTGATGAAAAAAAGGTCCAATATGACAGCTGTGCAGCAGGTTTAGAAAGCAACCGCTCCACACTGGAACAAGTAAGATTGCTGTCAGCATGTAGTTCCAGACTCTCTGAAACAGAGGAGTCATAATGGGATTCCTTCTCCTTTTCCTGCCTTCTTCACATGGAAGGCCCCAGTGCATAGAAGGTGGAAATGAGTCAGTGGCTGTGCGTTTCCAACTCTCTCTACCTCAAGCCACCTGAGGATAGCTAGACTTGTACATGCCTTCTAATTTGAATAGCAGCAAAAGAACTCCGTGAACCTGCTAGTCCATCCAGTGCAGTCTAACTCTGACTGGCAAAAATCTTGTCGTAGAAAATATAGCTGTCAGAATCTGCGCTTAGCTATGCAGAACCCGCTAGGATAGATTTTGGGCATTTTAATGTTAATCAGTTATTTGCCAAAAGAAATCTTCAAAGGCATTTATATAACTGCACTGGCTGTTTAAATAAGGTGTAGTTGAATTCAAGGTGTAGTTTAATTCAAGAGGAATAAGAGGATCCACAAAGTGAGTTAGTGTGGATTACCTTTACCACAATAACTGTTCTGCAGTAGCTATTCCTAGCAGTTTTTCCAGGTAGATGAGCCCTAACTCATGGTTTAACACAAGGTAGTTCATTGTCAGTTAGCATTTTTACTGCTATAACTGTAACCTCTGAATAGAGACACTTCCTAAATAGGTTCCAGACAATGCACACTTGTTCCTAGTTGTGTTTTAGTACTTGGTTGTTGTCAACTGGCAATCAAGTTACTTGCTAGAACAAGACTGAAAATTTATGCCCAGACAAAATGTGATCCTTCTAATTGCCATTTATAGAGATCGTTAATACTGTAAAGCCTGTATCATTTTCATATTTAAGGCACCAATCATATGTAATGTTGTTTAACCATTATGTGCTGCTGCTGAGGAGCCACAAGAGTGCCTGGTTAAGAGAGCATTTAAATCATTTTGTAAATATTAATGGCTTAGAAATTTCTTCTTGTGTCCATGTGTAGGGTGAGCAAAATCTTTATGGCATTCAAAGATTTTGGCTCCAAAGCGAAGATTTTGGTTCCTAGGACACATGATTGGGTTAAGTAACTGAATTCCCTTCATATTTTACCCATGTGTATATAGGACCTTTGCCTGCAGTCAGAGCCCTGCAAGCAGGTTGCTTCTTTAAGCACACCCCATTGTATGTTACACAGTATTCCAGTATGTCTGCTGTGGATTTTCTGTTATTCTCACTCAATAAAAATAATTTAATTCTTCAGGAAGTCAGAGGGCTTCGTCAAGAGTCTATTCAGGAAGAAAGTGGCTATCATTTTATTAACTGCGCCAAACAGGTAAGGCCACAAAATACCCTACATTGTTTAGGTGAAACTTCAAGCTGTCTAAAACCAGCTGTGTATTTCTGTTCAGAACCTAGAAGTGCAGCTTCAGCGTGCGAAAGATGAAATGAAGATGTACATCTCCCCAGATCCCCAGGAAAGAAGAAAAGCAATTAGGTAAATTATTTCTTGTGTGTGGATTCAGAGAACTTTTATAAACTGAGATTTAGGGAGGACTTTTCTCATTGGCATTTTAACTGGAAAAAAGGATTTCATCCTGTATGTTTCAAAAATGCTATAATGATCTAAAAATAAGTATCCGTCTGACAGATCCTGCTCTATATCCAGTTCTTTCAAACATACCACAAGCTTTTCCCTGCCTGTTGGAGAAGGCAGGCCAGATAATAGTTTTCAACTTGTGGCTCCTGTTGGGAGGGGATTCAGAGGACCTGTGCTCTTGCCAAGCCCCATAAAGGAAGCATGGCTGAGTTGGTCAGATTTCCTTCAGGGCTTCTGCACATGGAAGCAGAAAGTGCACCACTTTTCAGAGATAAAGTATATGCTGTCCTCAGATTCTGACTGGCTCACGCCATCCCTCCAACTCCTTTTCTGGTGCAAGACCTTACATGGCCACGGCTACTTGAAAGAAGGAGTGCCTGTGCTCAACAGAAATTGTTCCTTACTCCTGGTACCCTCCATCCAACCTGACACAAGTGAGGCTTATGGATAGTTTTCACCAAGAGATAGTATAACATTACTGGACACAGTCATCCTAGGAATTGTCTTTGTTAATGTGTTTCACTGCAGTTTAAAGGCAGGACCTCCTTCACTTTTCAGTATACTTTGTCCATCTAGGAATGATGGGAAGAGGAGGAAAATGGTTATAAAAACTCTGACCGGCATTATTTTTTAAATAGTTTTCAAAATGTAGTCTAATAAAAAGCCAAATGTTTTGCAGGAAAGTTTTGATTCTGATTAAATGGTCTTTGTGAAAAGAGCTAAAGATTTTGTTTTGACAGTGTTGAAACATTTAAAATCATGTCATGTAGACTTTTTTATTAAAAGGAGAAATATGTTTCTCTCTTTCTATTTTTTATATTCTACATTCTATGTTTTTACTCTTACACTAAAAATGGGAAAAAATGATTCAACACTATGAAACTAAACATCTGATCAGTCAATGTTCTTGGGCATTTTTATTCAACAGGATGAAATGTAATATTTAATTATGATTTTAGAATGAAAAACATTTTGAAATATCAGAATTTCCCATGGAACAGAAATTTTGTTTCCAACTGGACTTAGCTAAGTTTGTTTAAGGTCTTTTTAAAATAAAACTAAATTGTTTAATGAATTTACCATTTAAAATGAATTGATTTGATTACTTGAACATTAAGAATTAACATTGCATAAAGTATTGTAACTAGTTTTTTCAAAGCTGTTTGTAGCTGACATTTCTTTTCCTTGGAAATAAATTTTCTTATGTCTGAGAAATTATCTAAATTTAGCTTTAACAGTAACGTTGCCTATTTTTGGTAAAGATCCAGTTCCTATTGAAATTATGGGGAAAATGTTCTTTGAGTTTGGAAGAAGAGATGCATCTAGTTTTTTAAAAAAAAAAAAGTTAACAATTATGATGACATCAATAAAATGCTACACAGTGCAGCGCTGATTTGAAATCATCAGTTTTACTGGTGTCTTGCTAAGCCACCCAAGGTTTACATGAATGAGCCTGCGTGTTTATTGCTCAGCCTGTACAAAGCCATTGTCACTTAGATCTTTGGTGTGAGAACTCTTCAGTGATTTCTTTATCTGTAGTTCAGCGACATGACAGACCAGTGCTGGTGATCCATCATAATCTACTCTGTCAGTGCAGTAGTTCCCATATATCCTTTTGTACAGGCTGCCAAAATTCTTTAAAAAATTATCACACTGACAATATCCTGTGGGGAAAAAAATAACTCTATGGCAAACTGAAATACCTTGGTTAAAATAAAAAGTAAATGGGCCCATGTACTGAACTGCTTGAACTGTTGGCCATCTAAATTCTTGCTTAACACATGTTGAAGAAAAGTAAGAAGGAAATGACAGAATGATACTAAATGGGTCCAAATATAAGGTAAGAGTATGCAACAGAAAAACAAGACAACTTGTATGGGTTCATAACACAAGTGTCATTAGGCTGGCAAGCCGCAGTATGGCATTGACCCCTTGCCCTAGGGCGGTGGTTTCAACCTTCTCAGGGTCCGGGCATCCCTCCATATCTCCCGTGACTTGAGCGGCACCCAGTTCAGTAACTAAATTGTTAATTGCCACACTTAATTCTTGGTGGGGGGCAGCGAAAGGAGCAAGTATTTTGTCCTGCTATTCTGCAGGGAACTGGGACAATTACAAGCTTACTTCCTTGCTCTGAAGCTGGTACAGACGAGCCTGTGCTTTGCTGCTTTGCTTTTCTGACGGAGGAGGAAGGAGCAAGCACTTAACTCCTCACTCGGGCTGGCAGGGGCAAATAGGAGCTTGCCGCCTTCTGCTAGAGCCAGGCAGAGACAAGCCTATGCTTACCTCCTTGCAGAGTGACTGGGCAGGGAAGAGCGAGTGCTTATCTCCTTGTACCCCGTGGCACCCTCAGAAGCAGGGTGTTGAGAACTACTGCTGTAGGCATTTGGTTTTGAACTGTGGTCTAGACTCTATAGACTACTGAGGATCTGCAGAGAGTTCCTAAGCAATTGGTAGCTACCTTCTATGTTATGGTAAAGTGTCTTTCCACCTTCAACCTGTGACCCTTTCAGTCTGTTGGCATGATCCAAAATCCACTAAAATGAATGGAGAGACTCCCAGATGACTTCCATAAACTGTGGATCACACCCCAGGCAATAGAACTGCAATGAAATTGGAATGGTCTCTGAGGAGGGCAGTGCTGCTGATCTATTTAGCTATCTCCAGTGACCTATTTGATGGCTCCATTAAGGGACAGATGAGGAAAGTACATAGTTTTGTGATTATGGTCAACAATTCTGTAAACTTACATAGGCATAATATTCTTCTCCCCAACCCTGTTGGGGTCTCTTGTCTTGTCAGACTGCAGGTTGTCTGGGTCACGGACCAGGGCTTAGTGCATAGTTGTAGACAATCCAGAACAGTGAGCTGGGTACTAATGGGCTACAGGCATTCAGTAATAATCGTCATTTATAATTTATTTTTTCACATACAGCACACAGCATTTCCCCCACAATCAGCCCCCCAAAATTGGGGGGCATGTATTAATCAGGGAAGCTGATTTTCTGCCCAGGATAGAAGCATCCTGCTTTTGATTCCTGCTCTGCAGTACAGCTGTTGCATTACTGGTCGGGCAACTGTGGGAGTCGGTTGACTTAATGGCTCATTGTTCCTCACTCCAGAGGTATTAATGGTCCTGATGTTCTGCTAATCCAGTTAACCTTTCTAAGGACAATTTTCCCATCTGCTAACAGTTCCTAGTCTCTCTTCCTGTTTCACAGCCTTGGGAGACTCTCTAGCTCTTTTCAAAATTTTAGATCCACCCATAGAGGTCAGTCTTCAGCACCAGCTAGGGTTTGAGCTTTAGCTGAGCAGGAAAGGGAGCGTGAGTCAGCTGAATGTGGTGGAAGCAACATAAAAGCCCACCCTTCCAAATGTGTACTTAATAACCCTGCCTGTCCCCATCCTTATCTCTTTATATGGTGCATCCCTTCTGTTTCCCTTCAGCCTCCTTTATTTTTTTTAAGACAGGATGCTCCTTAGAGCAGAGCATGCAACGAATGCTGTTGCAGGCTGTCTAATAAATATTTAATGGAATCAAGGAAATGAGATTGCACAATGGGGGAATATTAGAAACGGAGCACCGTGAGTCGAGTTGCAGGCTATTGGATGTAGTGAGCAAGACATCATCTTTATTCAACTCCTGTTAAGCATGAAACTAGAGCTACAGTAGGCAAAATGATAAGCATTTCATGTTGACCTCTGTATGAGTTCAAAGACCAGTCACAGTTAAATAAGTCTAGTGGAGGCTTCAGTGTCCAGATACTTACCAAAAACTAAATATTGAGAGAGAATGAATTTCTCAACATCCTTTTGGAGTGTGTATGTATTTCCAGTGGGCACTGGAATGTAAACAGAACTAAAATGAGCCATAAATAGAGCAGCACTTTCCTAATGTATTGAACAAAAAATGCCTTAATTCTGACCCTTTTTATTGAACATAAATACTGTTCCGTGCAGTCAGGACTAAGGAATGTGAAAAGTTAATTTTGTTCTCTAAAAATAGATTTTTTTTTTAAATTAAGTTATTAAGTTGCATTCCTTCCAGCCATCATTATAAATAGTAAAGGAAAAAAAAAAGATACCATGGACAAGAGCTCTAATTTTCTAATCATTGCTTTGCAATAAATGTATCTTTAAAAAAATGAAAAGAAAAGAAAAGGTTGCTTGCAAAAAATGTACATTCTTGGTGCCATGTTCTCAAATGGGTGAGAAGCTTCCATCACACCAAAAAGGGAAGGAGGTGATTTGAGGTGGCTCCTTTGATCACCTTCTTTGATCTGCTGAGAATAGCTGGGAATTGTTTTGGCTTGCAGTGCAACCGGCAGTAGCTTCATGGCCATTCTAAGTTGCGCTAGCTAAAATAATCCAGGATTGCCAGAGCATTACGTTCTCTCCTGCCCATGGGCCCAAATACCGTGCTGTAGCGCAAAGGCTGCAGTAGCCAGTAGAGATGGGCGAAGTATCAGAAAATCAACACTAAAGGAAGCTTCAGTCCTCTTGTCTCCATTCTTGCACAAGTAGTCTCCTGGGATTTCCTGTGCAAAGTGCTTTCTGTCCTGAGCAAGTATGATGTTCTTTAGGTGTATGGACTATTTTGCATTCTATCAGACAGCAAACTGTCTGCCCCCAGGAGCATTTAATACACATGCACAGTAATACTTGGTTTTTAGGTCTAGAGAAGTGGGTATGTTGCTTTTAAATGTGTCACCTAAATGTCAAATAAATAAATATGGGAAAGGTCATCACATATCAGAACATGCTAGAACGTGGTGTTGATTAGCATATAATGCTGTCAGGTTTCATATATGAAGTTTGGATACTTTGGGGAGTGGTTCTGTTCACTTGTTACAGCCATAAGCCAATATTTGTTGCAATGGATGTCAAGAGTTATGCTCCTAAGTCTATATTTAGACACCTAATTATGAGGCCTGTTTTTCCAAGTGTTGGGTGGCCAGCAGTTCCCATGGCAATCAGTAGGACCTAGAGCAGGGGTGGGCAAAATATGGCCTGCGAGCTGGATCCGGCCTGCCAGACCAATCTATTCAGCTTGCGGGGCCCCTAAAAAATTTAGAAAATTTTATATTCATCTGCCCTTGGCTGCCTGTCAAAGATGACAGGAGCCAGTGGCAGTAGGACCCAGGGGAAGTCAGTGGCAGGACCCAGCAGTCAGAACAGCAAGGCCGGCCCAACCCTTCCCCCCCACCCACAATTCCCTCTGGTCCCCCACCCCCAACCCCATCTGGAAGTGTCTGGGACTGTTCCCTGCCTCCCTTTGCCAGAGAGGGAAATTCAGATAAGAAGGAGGGGGGTGGAGGCAGAGGAGGACCGTGGGTGATCGCCCCAGTCTGCAGGGCCAGGCCAGACTGGCTCCTGCGGTCCTGGCGCTGCAGCCGGGAACCACGTGGTGCCAGAGTGGCGGGTAGGGGATAGAGGGGAGTGGTGGCTGTGGTGGGCAGGAAAGCGAGGAAATGGCTGCGGCAGATGGGAGTGAGCGGGTGCGTGGAGCGCAGCAAAAGTTGGGCGGGAGTGCAGGGTCCGCACCAGTGCATAGAGGCCCGAGGCAAGGTGGCAGGGGCTCTGAAACTGGGCCACCTCCCCACTTTCCCTGCTGGCGCAGCCCAGCCCAGCTCCATAGAGCCCCTGCCAGCCTGAGCCTTGCACTCCTGCCACCCCACCCTGGCCCGCAGTAGCACTAGCCCTGGGACACCAGCATGGGTCCCACACTCCCTCCCATTTGTTACAGCGCTTGGCATGCCTGCTTGCTGCCACTCAACCCACTAGCCACAGCCATTTCCCTGCTTCTGCCGCCGCTCCCCTTCACCCTGCTGCCTGCCACTCTGCCACCACATGGTTTCTGGCTGCAGTGCCAGGCTGCAGAACTTGGGAGGAGCTGGCCTGGCCCCTGCGATTATCGGCTGGCCCCTTGCAGTTCCGACTGGGCCAGTCCAGCTCCTGCTGTGTCCTGCAGTCTAGGCTGTGGTGCTGGAGTGGTTGGGGGGGGTGGGGGGAAGTGGCAGGAGAAGGGCAGCAGTGGCAGATGGAGGGGGAAGTGGCAGTAAGTGGGAGTATGGGGCCCATGCTGGTGCCCACCCACATGCTCTCTCACCTCACATATGTACACCCTCCCCACACCTATCCATCCCCCCACATACCTGCACACCCACAGCCCCCCACAAACCTATACACATGCCCCTTGCCCCCCAACAATATAGAAGACTAAGACTTCATTTTAAGCTATTATACAATCACCTCTATGTACACGATGCAAATGCATGTAAATCAGGACAAAAATATTTTTTGAAATCAAATGAATGTATGTTGTAGTAGATGTTTGATTTTTAGAATATAACTTGGTATTTTTCTGGTTCTGATGGCAAACCCCCTTGCTGAACGGAGTACTTCTGGGGCACAAGGGGGGAGGCTTCTGGTGGCAAAGGTCAGGGATTAGGAGATGGAACTTCCAGTCCCAAGATAGTGACCAGGGGGCGGGGCACCATCAAGGGGCGGGGCTACCCATGTGGCCAAAACTCAGTAAGTGGCCCTTTGCCTGAAATAATTGCCCGCCCCTGCTGCAGAGAGTAGATTTGTCAAACATGGGGCCAACTACTACTCTCTGTTCAGTCCTGAGTTTACTCTAGGTATGAAACTCGCATAAGTGAAAAGGTCTAGATTTGGACACTGGCAGGTTTTATGGCTGCTGGACACTGGCTGGTCTCAAAGTGCAGTCAGCATTATTATGACAAATGGTGTCAGCCCTGTGGGCAGTATTTTGGAAGGGAACAATAGAAATCATACCTGCCTTGAAGGCTTAACAGTGACCTTACCTAATAGTAAATAGCCATTTTGCCACCTACACAATTATAGCTGTAAGAGGAGTCCTGAATCCTTGCATCAGAAGAGTTCCCACTTCTTGCTTGCTCTTTGACTGTCTTAATGAATTGTCAACCCCCCCCAATTTTGATACTACATTTATTAAGTTTGGGGCTTTTTCAGGTTTTTCCCATTCGGAGTATGTATCTTCCCTGTTCATTAAAGCCAGGTGCATAATGTAGTTATTTCTTTTATTTTCTTTAGAGAACAATACACCCGAATGATCCTTGAACAAGAGAACCTCGGGAAGGTGAGGATGGGATTCTTTCTTTAATGTTGGGTGGGGAGAGGGGAAACCAAGCGGCAGTCCATACTTTTTTTTTGGTTCAACATCTAAGGCTATGGTCATCCTTTTATAAAAAGCATATTGCAGACCACAAAGAAAATTCCATTACTGCTGGCATCGGTAACTAATCCCCTGAAAAGAGATCATGCTAACTCTTCAGAGCTTGATTTCTTCCAGTGTATAGCATGAGCTGCTTGTAAAAGATAGTCAAACAGCTTAACACGACAGCACATTCCCTGTAAACTATTTGGATAAGAAACTGAAACACAGATATAACAAATTGTGCCAGCTCAAATTTGAAGTTGTATATAAAGCAACCTGTTGAAGACCATAAATTTTAAAGCTGTCAGTCTTATCACCTTTATAAAAGGCCAATGATATCTTCCATGTAGCTGCACTAACAAAAGCTGTTGTCTGAGTTTATTCTTGTGTGAAGCTCTGGCTAGTGTGGGAGGGGAAGCCTTACCAATTCAGACAAAACCCCTGCCTTTCCCTTTCTAGCTTTCTCTTTGTGAGCAAATTTTACATGTTTGTGTCCCTGCCTGTATGGATTTAATTGCAGTTTCTTTTGTAAAACTTTAATTTCAGGGTTGATAACTTCATGAGCATGGTCTGTTTACAGGCTGTGACTTGATATACAGAGTCTCAGTCCGGAAGTGATTTTTTTGGTGATAATGCATTTTCCCAAAACAAATGGGATTCCCCACAGAGAACCTGGGGACACAGCACAGCAGACTTACGATATCAAAAAAGGGTTTTTTATTAACTGATCTGAATACTAGCAATATTTGACAGCAGAAAGAAATGTTCTTTCACATTGAAGTAGCTATGCAAGCTAGCATTTGTAATGTAGAGCTGTTCCCAAAATCTAAACTGGTTTTGTTTGTTTATAACAGAAATTACGAGAGAAACAAAAAGCTGTGCGTGAGAGTCACGGTCCAAATATGAAGCAAGTTAAAATGTGGCGGGATGTGGAGCAGCTCATGGAGTGTAAGAGAGAATGTTTTCTAAAGCAACAAAATCAAACTTCTATTGGTCAAGTCATTCAGGAAGGAGGAGAGGATAGGCTGGTATTATGAAATCATTTAAAATCTGGGCATCTTAAGTAGTTTTGCTGTTGATTGTTGGGTTTTTATACAGTTTCTCTATAAATGAATTGTAAATATTTTGTTTTCAGTGGGTAATCTAAGAGTGAAGTCAACCAGCATGCAAACAGCATTATTTAACAGCCAAGGTAATAGCTTACATCAGTGAGGGACAGTCTTTTTGGTAGGTTTGCCATGAATTGGCCCCAGATCCTTCTCAAGTGCCACTCTGATCCCCTTCCCCTGCCCCATCTGCTGCTCTGCTTTCTGCTCCTTCCTCTGTGCTCCCTGCCCCATCTGCTGCTCTGCCTTTTGCTCTGTACTGTGTGCTCCCAACCCCCTCTACCACTGTGTTGCCTTTTGTGACACGGATCTGCCACGTGCCACAATGAGCTGCCTGTGCCGCTTGTGTCACCCATGCCGCATGTTGGTCACCCCTAACTTACATGGTATGGAGAGTGTTGAGTGAGCCTTTTGCAGTGCAGTGAATGCTGTTGTAAAGCCTTATTTCTCCCATTAGGCAGGGGGCTGGGTATCTCCACAGAAAGACCAAGAGAAAAAGGAATCTCTTTCCAAGGCCATGCAGATCTGTGGAGCTACTTTGCACCTGCTCTTGTGGCCCTAACACTACAGATTTGGCACTTGCTGGGTGCATGCATGATACATAACTGTATAACTGTGGGCCTTCTGACTCCTGGGTGGGTGCTTTTCTTCCTCACTCTGTCCCTGTTCATGCAGTGGGTGCTGGCATGCATGGAACCAGAGCAGATCTGAGCTCCATGCCATGCAAGAGCTCTACAAACCCTGTATGCTTCACCTCAGCTCAGCTCTCTCCTTACTCAGATGACTTCAACTGACATTCCTCCCAGAAGTCTTTCCATTGTTACAGGGGCAGGAATGGGATTTGAGAACAATTACTGATATTCCGATCCTCCCAGTATAGGGACATTCACTGATGTAGGTACATAGGGCTTGTTAATAGTCAGGTTCAGCCACAGGGTTAACTCATGAAGAGCTGAGTTTTTATGCTTTCCTAAGTTACTTGTGGCCTGTAGAGAAGTGCTTCGAAATTTTGCTTCCTACTTGAACTAGAATTGACCTGATCTTTAATAGTTGTTGCAGTTTACCTCAGATGTAACAGCTATTTCAGCCTTCTCTGATATTTAAATGCATTTGATGCTTTCTGTATGAGTCCCTTCTATAGCCTGCATTTGCATTGGCCAGCTTTGCTGACAAAACTAAGAAGAAAAGTAAAATCCAAAGCTTAGGCAATGGGTTTAGTTTTTTTAAAAGGTTCTTTAGAGGATCAAAGTGATAGAACAGCCCTAATGAAAGGCAAGCAGGTGGCTGGGCCTTAGATGAACAAGGCCTTTGAATGCTCAAACTCTTTTCGCAAAGGTCCTGCCTGGTTTTCCCCTTGACATTAAAGCTGTAAATGACAATGAGAGAAGAGAGTACCTAACCTTCAAATCTCACAAGCCCCAAGACCTGCCAGGAGGCTGTTCACAGACCTCATATGCAGGCCTGACCCTGAGTCTACCTTTTCCTCTGTTTGCAGGGCTGCTCGAGGGGTTCTTTCTCCATAGCCGAAGCTGATCTTCTCTCTAAGAGCAGATAGAAGCAGCAAGAGGGAAAACAGCAAATTTCTGTTAATTTTTACTGAGTTTGGAGGGAAGCCTATTAAGCAGGGAATGGGCATCAGGTAGATTTACATGAGGTGGGAAGAGCATGTCATATTGCCACCACTTTGTTCTTCCCCAGTTGCAATGTCCTCTCTGGCAGCAGCAGGACAGCCTCTAGTTTCAGGCACTAGCTTGGGACTGTATCAGGCAAGGGGAAAACTCAGCAAAATGGCAGCAGCAGGTTGTGTGCTATGGGGAAAGCCAGCCACAGGGACTCCATAGTTCTCCTCTTGCTAGCCCAGTCTGTAGTAGTATTTATTTACTTTACTTGCTGTAGTGCCAGAGGAGCTGAAGAACATTATAGGAGACCTTGGCCTTTTGAGGGAGGCTTGCTGAATGCTTGTCAACAGCAATGCAAAGGCACAACCATCTAGACAAGAGTTATAATAAGGGGGAGCTTGGGATGTTCTCCAGAAAAGGAGCTGTTGGGTTCCTTAGGACTTACCGGCAGAGCTGAGGGACAGCACATGCTCTGCAGCCTCAGAAGGTCACCAAATTTCCCTGACTTAGGGTCACTGTATTATTCATCAAGCCATTCGTGCATTGATCTGTTACCTGGCTTTTGAAATCTTGTAGTGATACTGAGTCAGGCTGCAGGTAATCAGTTTTTCTCTTTGGTGTTACCCTAAAAAGAGTCAGTCTCTCCCCCTCTCTTTAAAAACAAGTTACTGGTAATTACTCAAAGATGATATGATGGTTGCACTGATCTGATTAGTGCTCCATTATTCTTCCCGTACCAAGAAAGGGCACGCGGATTACATGCTACGTCAGCATCCACACAGCTTTCTTAGATTAAGCAAAAAAGCGTAATTACAATAAGAAAAAAATTGGACAAACTAAAAAGCTACCACATGGTTATTTTTAGCTTTTACATAAGTGGACATTTAATACTGCAACTGTAATGCATTCCCTTCCGTGGCTTTTCCACCCAGTTGGTGATTTGACAGAAACATGCACAACTCTGACTGATCCTGACAGTTAGCCCCTTCATCTTGTAATTTACAAAGAGAGATCATTTTTTGCTCTAATAGCACTAACGGTCTAGCTAGTCAACTAACGAGATTGCATGTGCACTTTGGAAAATCACCTGCCCCTTACTTGTGAACGTCCAAATAAAGCAGAAAATGTAGTCACCAATTTCTGTGCTCCTGCACTTTAAAAATGTCTTTCTATTAAGATAATCAGGATTGATAGTAGAGAGGATATATTTTATTAGACCAACTATTTATTACTGTTGGTCTAATAAAAGATATCATCTCTGCTACGAGTCCTGATTGCCTTCTCCTCTAGACCGATACAGCTACAACCTGGATACCTTCCTATTAAGATGCTATTCTTGCTAATAGCTACTCTACATGCTTTGAGTAGCTACATACAAGACAAACTACATACTTTGTTTCAAAAAGCTAAAGCTTTTCCTACCTAGAATTAGATCAGAAAATAATCTGCCATAGGGCTATAACAGTATTCCATAGCATTACATGGTTTTGTCATAAAAATTTAACATTGATGTAAGAGACACCCACTTTGAGAGTTGCAGGCAGTTCCCAAATGGGTTGAGCAGATAAGTAGCTAGGAATATGGAAATCAGAAATGGGGATAAGAGAAAAAACATATATATGGCTTTCCACACAGCCAATCAGCCTATACATTTTTTCGTTTGGATAACACAGCCGCCTTGTGTTGGTTTATATTAGCAGCTGCCATTTTGTTTCTCTTTGAACTTCAGCAGAAAAGAAATGCCCCCCAAAAGACCCAAATCTGCAAACACTGCAGATAGATATCCTTACTCATGTGGCATGTTTGTAAAGTTGCTCGCAAGCTTTGTGGGGTTATCTGTATTAAAATATACTTTTTTCTAAAAAAGAAATGTATTTGGTCTATTCAGTGTCTTGCAAAAGTGTAGCTATCAGCAGGACAGTGAGAAGGATGTCTCTGAGAGCTCTGCAAACATCACTATTGTAAGGTATGTTGGTAGGGTAGGGCAGCACCTTAAAGACTAACTCATTCAGAAATACATAAGGTTTTGTGGGCTACAGCCTACTTCATATATTGCAGTAGAAACATTTACTTGGCAGCTCTACAACTAAAGAAAATGTCCTCAGACTGAGATTGCGTGGATGAATTGGAATGGGTAGGATTGTACTCACTACACAATATCTAATTGTTCTCAAATGGCTCAGGGGTTGGAAATGGGATCCAGAGCCTTTCACCTCTCGAGCCTTGTTTGTGTGTCTGGCCCAGATCAGCAGTGGCTGAAAGTTGGCTACTACCTGGTGGATGTCCTCGACTCAGTGAGCTGTGCATGATGAGTTGGCAGTGTCCATCCAGCTCCTAAATCACCATCCTACCTGGCAGGCTCGGGGTTGAAAGGGCTATGGAGAATGGAATAAATAGTCTGTCACCATAGAGGTGTTGCTTCCAGAATAAAGTTGCAGCCCACTAAAACAGCAGTGTGGGAATCGTGCCCTCCCGTATTGACAGCCTTGAGGCTTGTAAATCTGGCACCTTTCTTCAGCACTGCATTTACTCAGATTTAAATAAAAACCTTAAGAACTTGTTCCGTGCGTGGCCTGTGGTGTTCTTCGCAGTTGTTGGTGTTCTGCTGAAGAAACCCTTTGAATCCTTTAGTTCCTGTCTCTAGCACAGCTGCGAGGAGGTACTGCATGGATTGGCATTGGCGGTGCCATTTCCCTGGGCGCCTGGGCAACGCTGAATATGTGATTGCTTTTTAGGTTGTTATAATCTTGAAGAAAGGGCGTCTAGACTCTTAGCGTTGATCTCTACACACCCACTTTTCCTGCGTGTGTACTCCCTAGATTGTTGGTTCTGTGGTAGCAGTTTCCAGACTCTGAAACAATCCTAATCTTATCTTATTTTAGTGGGTGGGAAGGGCATTTTTCATAGTTATGTTGTGCTACTTTTGCTGATTTTGGTATACAAAGAAAAGCAGTGTAGGCCCTTGGACTGTGATAATGTCACCCTATTAGTAGCACTGGGATTTGAGGAGGGGTAACACATGTTTTCAAAATCATTGAGATAAAATCAGCAAGGCACTGTGGGACAAATCCTGCAGTCCTTACTCTCACAAAGTCCGCACAGACTTCAGTGGGAACTTCGCCAGGTCTGCTGGATTTAGCCTTGTGTTCTCCTGGAAGAACAGCAGCAGTTAAGGGGCCAGGATCAGATTTCAAAAATACTATATTTAAAAAAGAAATGCATCTCTTTAGCTAAAATTATGGCCTCAATCCTGCTTAAGCCAGTTTACCATTGGATGCTACTTAGTTTATAAAGGCATATTTAGTAAGTTTTTCTCAGCCTGAATAATAAAAATAGGCTAGTTGGTATCATTACTGGTATCCCAGTTTATAACCGATTCTAATTAATGTCACTGTCAAGTTCCCATTCACAAATGCAGTGCAGTGGCTTTGGTCGTTTATCTTTATTACAGTTAAAATCCACTGCCTTTCTTTTCTTCATTTTATTTTGATGGGTATATTTTCATTTGTGGTTAAAAAGAATAATGTATTTCACCATTTTCCAGGGTCCATTGCTCATAGGTTAGAGAAAAGTCTCATTTTACAAAAATGAGACTTTTGACTTGAAAGTGTCCCTTAATAGAATCCTGTTCTCAGAGCAATGTAAATGCAACGATACTTTGCAGACAAAAGGTAATGTTTTGTTTCAACATTGCTGAAAATACAGAACCTGTATCTGCTAACTAGAAAAGGAGTGATGTTTTAATCCTATAGCTGGATCTGTGCAGACAAACCCTTCTGTTTAGACAGAGCCCTGTTTAATTTATCTGTCTTGAATAAAATTTAATTTTTCACCATTAATCTTCTAAAATGTATTGTAATTATCCAAGTTTTCAAAAGGCTCTCGTTACCACAATGAGCACTTCTGGGTTCCTTATAAAATGGAATAAAGGAATATTTTCATCCTGGCTCCACAAATAGTTCTGCTGACTGCCATGGACCATATTAATACCAGGAAAGAATTTGATCCACAGGAGTATGGAAAACAGGATTTGGCCAATTTGCAAAGATAAATTCTTCTTTATCACACATGCCTTTGAGTGGAAAGGAAAATCTCCTTGGCATTTAAGGACTAATGAACTACAGAAGTATGCATATAATGAAAATAATAAAAATATACAAGAGTATTATACAAAAAATTGCTCAAGGAATTATTTTGTTTTTGAAATATGCAAATAATGCACTAGGATGGATGAGCAGTCAGAGAAAGTATCAGGTTAAATGAGATTTTATACCATTTAAAATATTTCTTCTATTTAGGTATTTTAAAAATCTTTTTAGCAAGTTAAAGTCTAAGGCAGTGTCCCCACATGTAGGCAGGTGCAATTTGTGGCACCACAAGCTGCACATGTGGAACATTTAAAATGTGCCCTGCACTGCAAATTTTCAGCGCAGGGGCAAAATTTGCTACCAGGATTTCCTGGTAGCAAAAGCAAAAAAAAAAGGGAGGCAGGGGGGCAGGAGGAGAAGCGACGTGGCGTATGCTGTAGTAGCATGCACCAGAACAAATGGAGGCTTGGTGCTTCAAGAGGATGCTCTGGCTGCTGGCCAGACCCTCTCCACTCTTCCATTTTTGCCCTGGCTGCTCCAGTCCGCCAGGAGGAGTTGGGCAAGGGCAGTTTGCCCAAAGTGGGACACAGTGTCTCACAACAAAGTGCACGGGCAGGGGCGTATGCAGCAGCTACTATTTGTACATGCCTACACATCTGGATGCAGCTTAAGGTTATAAAGTGTTAAAATGCAAAAGCTTATTTGATTTACCCATATACTGTAATTTGGACAGTAAAGCAGTGTTTAGGCATTTCTTGGTTGTTGCAAGTGGAAACGTCAGGGACATAAATGAAGAATCCCCAAAGTCAGGAAAGGCTGATTAACTTGAGATTTGAGAAGCTGAACATTTCATGAGAATGATGCACGTTGGATACTGCTTATCAACTGACACTTAAATGGTGTTTCCCAAACGCAGAACTCTTCAACACTACTGCTTTCGAGGTCATTTAAATATTACAGGTTATTTGTAAATCATCATAGTCACCTGGTTCATCCATGCTTCATAGAGCTTGCCATGTTTTTACTTTATAATTCATGTTTAGATCATAATGATAAAAATGATGTAATATGAATGGCTTTCCACTAAACAGAACAGGGCCGGAGCAGAGCTCAGTTGTTCACTCATGACAAACTGATGCATGAATAATTTACATTACTATTATATCTTCCATCCTGAAGGATTCCTCTGCTTCATCAGCATACTATGAGGGATGATTAAATTGTTTGGAGACCTGTATGAGCTATTGTGAAAACCTTTGGCAACTCATTTAGTATCTTCAGGACATTAATGGAAATGTGACATTCATTAATTCACAATGATAAATGACCATGTCAAGATTAAAGCTCACCAAAAGGACAGTTTTCACAACTTGTAACTGGAGCAACTTGAACTCCTCTGACGGGGATGGAGTGTGGCACACTAAATAATGTCGTATTAAGTTGCGTTTAATGTTCCTTTCATATTTCTACCTTTAATGCACCATCGTCCGATTCTGTGTTGAATATGTCATGCTCTACATCAGCTAAGGACTTTTCTTTTGTAGGTTGATTTAATTGAATGAGCTGAAAGATTCATTACTGTGTATTTAGGATTTGTTTCTTGCATTGGAACAAAGTTTCATAACTATTTTCCCAGTATCAGTCACAAAATGTGGTAACACTTCCCACTTCTTAGCCGAAAAAGATACGCTTATATATATATGGTGTTTTTATAAAAGGTTTTAAAATGTTTACAGCTCGCTCAACTTCAAATTAATGGATTCTAAGTGTGGGGGGGAATATCCTATAGTCCTTACCACTGTTGTCAAAGCTATTTTCAGCCTTTAAAGGGATTCACTTGCTAGTGACTTGGCAATGTCAAACAAATGTTCAACTTTTATTCTGACACTTCTTGAAGAATTTGATTGAAACTATATATGTCTAGATAACATCCAACAAAGTGCCCCTCTTGCGTTTGTTTCAAGATATTTTTGGAAACAACAGAGTCGACCTTGGACGGAGCTGCTTTTCCAATTTAGGACTTCAGTTGGTCTAAGTGAACAGTTCTGTTCTTCAAGCATATTGTATAGTCACAAGTAGCAAAATGGTTTTGTTAATATATGTTATGGCAGATTTGTTTTTCTGCAATATGTGCTCTGCTAATGGCACTGTTCTGTTTAGGAAAAGAACATTATTAGATATTTAACAATTTGCTCCTATTTATAAATGGCTGGCTAGTGCACATTTCCTTTTCATCTGAAAATCTTTGGGTAATTTCATTTACATGATGCTTGTTTATTTAATATTTTAGTTTCTTTAAAACTAATATTAAGAAGTGGGAACTTTCCTTTGTCTCTGCTTACTGACATAGAGTCTTGTTTTCCAGCCAGGGCTCTCACAGACTTGATGTAAAGTCTAAATGAGGACAGTGGTAATGCTGGCAAATGCTATGTGATGGGATTGCCACCTGTCCAGATCATCGGAGAAATATTGCTTGTCAAGCTTCAAGTTTAAAAACCAAGGTTAAGTGCCAGGTCCTGTGTACATCTAGTCGGGGGCAGATCACTTTCTTTTCTGGCCTCAGTTTGCCAGTTTTGCAATTGTGTCTGTAAATCTTGATTGAATCCAATCAATTCAGAGATTTAAGTGTTTTGCACTTAATTTTATATCCGGTCAATACATTTTCATTTATTTGTTGGTGTCTTTGCAGCTGTAATGCAGTCTGTTATGAAGCAGAATTACCTTACTGCAATGATAATGCAGTTTCATTGTTGTCAATGTTAACAGAAATGACAGAGTATCATTTATCCTGTAGAATATTTAATCTCTGCAATCATAATTTTGTTTGCTTAATTTAATTGGCCAGTACAAGTTTATAACCTGGAAACTAGATCTAGCTGTGTTGCCAGAATACACCTTGGCAGCGCAGTAACGAGCATAGTTGGTATATGCAAAGAGAAAGGTAGTATCTACTCACGTTTTTTAAAAGGAAACTAGACCCAACCTCCTTTTTTGCAGGCATAGGTTTATGACCACCTTACGTACTTACAGTGACTGGGGAATCAATTGTTGGCATTTAAAAGTCTAATTCTGGTTTGAAGGGAAAAAATCAAGTACATTACGGTTGTACAGAGAAACACTAGCAAAAATTAATAAGACCTGTAAGCTTGGCAGCTACTTTTAAAAATAAAGTTGTTTCTATGCATAGCCCACTGCACAGGGCAGTACCTCTCGTAATAGGATTTCCAGGCGCTTTAGAAGTTTCCATTAATAAAGCCTTTCAACAATCCTGTCAGATAATAATCTCTATTTAGCTATCCATATTTTGTTCTATTGTCTCTCTTAATAGATGGGTAAATGCAGGGATATAAAGGTTAAATAATTTACCCAGCTCTGCATGATGAGCAACTTCTAGACTTCTTTTCTGATCTCCACTTCATCTGCCACTCCACAAAGAGTAAGTAACTGTAAATAATTAGTCGTGATCTGTAGATACATGGCATGATCATTTGTTAAAATCTAGGAAGGGAGAGTGATTACCAGCATTAACATCAAATCAGTTTTTAATAAAGTTGTGACTAAATCAGTAATTTTCATCCAGGGTGCCAGACCACCTAGGGGTGCCACAAGATCCTTTGAAGGGTCCCCCACCATGTATGAAGAGATAAGTAGGTAAGTGCAGGCTCAGGTTCTTCTCTCCCTGGCCAGTGTCCCACCTCTACTGCCCGGCCCCTCTGCAGTGAGGTAAGCACTGTAATGAGTTAGTTTTTGAAATGGGGTGCCACTTGCTTCACAAAAGTTATGGAGGGGTGTCTTGAGAGTCTAATGAGGGGTGCCTTGAGTCTATCAAGGGTGCCTCAAATCTGAAAATGTTGAGAACCGCTAGATTAAATTGTAGCATTTGTGGAAGGTTCTTTAAGGATCCGAACCACCAGTAATGACAAGTATATTGGAGGTCTTCATTCATTTTTATGCCAGACTTAGGACAAGTTCCTTACAAATTTAGCCAATCCTTGTTCATAACAACGTTCCTAATGAAGTTTAAAAAAAAATCCCTGCAGGCCGGATTCTCACTTACACTTAAAGCGCTTATACTTGCAGATGGAGCGGTGCTCTATGAGAAGGAGGATCTCTGTCTAGGAGAGAGAATTCTAAAATTACAGCTCTCATTTGTAAAAGATGTGTTTAATTTTATGGGGCAGACCATATTCTTAAACTGTTTTAGTGGATGTATCAGCCTGGTGTATATGTCTATTAGTCTATTAATGTTAATTGGTAGCATAGCTGAAGTGCACTAATTAAGCAAGAGCAAATAAATGGTAACTACTTGCCTCTGCAGAGTCAACAGCAAGGTTTCCTTTTCCTAAATCTTTCTTCCCTGCATTTGACTACCGAGTGTAATTCAGTATTGTCTTCTAAAATGATAAAGGAGTGTGTCAGTGCATGCCAATGAAAACAAAATATTTACATTTTTTTGGCTGAAAAACACACTTTTTTGCCAAAACCTGAAGAAGTTTGGTTTTTAAGCAAAAACCTTTTGTTTTGTTGAGCCTGCAGTGCCCAGAGTCAATCTGCCAGCTGTGGAGTCTTCTGGAAATAAATCATAATTAGGGCTTTTTTTTCTATTAGCCTTTCCATCTGGCTGTCTTTCTCCCTAGGTATCATGGACCATGTCCACATGAGGTGTGCTGTACTGGTCTTGGAAAACTGGTATACGCTACTAATGCCAGTGCAGTGTTACTGGTAAACCTAAGCCATGTGCCGGTATACTAAACTTGTGTAGACTCCTGAACAAAAGAAACTATACTGACAAAATCGCAGTTCTGCTACATCAGTCAGGGATCACACCTCCTCTCATCCTTGACTATCAAAGCTATGGAAAAAGAAGTCTGAAGTGTTGACATAGCCGCAGTTTTTTAGCTGTTTCATCTGAATCGCTAACATGAGAGGTTTTGAAGGCAAATTGGAAAACTAACAACTTCTTTATTAAGAAGCTACACATAAACAAGGATAACATTGTTTTTAAAATTCATTTAAAAAGCCCCATCCTCCTCCAGCCCTCCTCCCATAATAGCATATGGAGCGATAGCAGACTCAACTCATAAAACTTTTGTCCAGTGCCAGAAGCATAATATTAGCAAATTAAGATTGGAAGATTGCCTTTGAAGGGCAAAAAATGAGTACCAACATATTGGCCTATCCCAGCTCTCACATGCTCTACTCCCAGCTGCTGTTATCAGACAAGGCATCAAGTAGACAGATCTGAAGCAAGTTGAAAGCATCTGAAATTCCAAAACTCTGCAAGGGCTTTTTATTTTCCAAAGAGCACCTTCCTCTCCAGCTCCATGGTCTGTTCCTCGGACAGCGAATATGCTAAACCAAAAGACTAACCTGGAAAATCTGTGTTTGTCCAAGATTTTTCACTGATGGTGTGTCTTAGGTTTGGTTCCTCTCTCAAGGTAATGTCCTTGGCAACCCCCTGCCAGGTTCCCAACCAAAGAAAAAAGACTGTCCCGGATCATTTTATTCCAGTTTTTATACTTAGCCCAGTCCATTCTGAGGCAGGCTTCAGAGGTTTAGTGAGCAGTCCCACTGATGTCCGCACGAGCTGATTTTATGCTGGGTATAGAATCAGTTGTTAAGACATTATTTAAATATTGCAGTGCTCCTACTCACTCTGTAAATGGGTGGATCCTCCTTTCACTTCCATTGTGTGTTTAATTCAGTCAACAGTAACATCTGTATAAGCGAGAAGAAAATTGGGCCCCAAAATCATCCATGGTCAGATCAGATCATCTACTCGTGACATAAGCAGTATTTAGTGTGGCCTTGGCCAGCCTCCTTCACCAATACATTTAATTCTTAAAAGTAACAGAGAGAGGAAAAAATCTAGATGTGCAACAACAATAATACCATTGTACCTCTGTTTTCCTTGGCAGTTATCTAATTCCCTTCTATGTTATCCATTCGGGAATCTGATTATGACCTAGTCAAACAGAAGAGCAATGATCTTATTGCTTTAATAACTGGGGAACAATTTTAATGCCTTTTATTATGCTTTGCAGGAAAATTCAGGTCCTGCTTGAGTCATTTTAAAGCTATGCAATTCTGTTTTCATATTGTTTCCTACTAAGCCAACATTCAAGGGAATTTCTTAAATGAATGCACTTTTAGAAAGACAAATAACAAAATCAGTCCTGACGATCATAAGTAATGTGACCTTGTTATACCCACATATATTTATCTTGATTAATTTTTTTTCTCACTGTGTTTGAGCGT